ATGAAATTAAATCACTTACATGTACATTACAAAAAATGCTTCTTAATAATAATACCAAACTTAAATTATACAAAAAGGTCAAAACAAAATTGGGCCATTTAATCATTGTTTATTCTATGATAATATCTAAAAACATTGCAGACGATCAATACAGATCATTTGAATACCACAGAAGTACTTTTTTGTGTGTAAATTTGTGACCGCATACTTAGCGTAAATTAATACCAAATGGAAAATAGTAGTTTTACAAGCTACAGGAGCTACTCCTGAGACATGTCTATTGCTGAATTCATCTTACCCAGCTTTGTCAACAGGTGTGATGCTTGGGCCGCTACCTTGTACTCCGGGTCTCCTACTTTATTGACCAACAATGCCAACAAGACCTAAAACATCAACAAGAGATTAAATGTAATTTAGAAGCAATAGAAAAGTTAAATCACACTATTTTTTTCATGTTAATGAAGTTGTGTTTATAGTAATGACCTTTTCTTCCTCTGGTTTTTCTGCAAGCAACTGAAAAAATATCCCTGAAATGAAAAGTTGAAATTTTTAGTATCTGTACTACAATTAACAAATCCAACATTAATGCATTCCTGATATTACAAAAGTCTATATTTAAAGTATCAAAATTATAAGATACAGTCACTGCCTTTTTGAGGAAGAACAGGTAGGAAAAAGTAGTAATTAAAGTAAATCACGATTTTAATGAAGTACCAGGGATGGACGATTTTGCTTCTTTATTAACATAATTTGTAATATACTTCATGACCAATATATATATATTTTAGAGACACAGTAAATAAAAATCGCTTCGTTTTAAGCATCAATTCATTATAAATGTGTTTGCTTTAAGCATGTTTTAATGTATATAGTGATACACAATATAAGCATTACCTAATGCTTTCTGTCTTGTGGCCAAAATATTGTCCTTTGACATCACCTTTAAAAAATAAATGGGATGTTGTAAGTATACAGCGTACCTTTTTTAATCTTCTATAAAATTTTTAATAAAGAAAATGAACAGGTCACAGACTTCATATTAAAAAGGCAGCTTATAAATGCAAACTACATTTCTGCATCTCTGACTCAATCCCCAATACATACCTCTAGAGCTTGGATGAATGCTGAATACTTTTCCTTTAGCCTGTGTTCATACAACCATTTGAGCAGTTTTCTGTCAATTGTGTCTTTATTTCCTCCAGAAATGTCTCCCAGGTCTCCTAAGGGATGCTGGCAATAAAAAAGAAATATGTCAAGCCCTGTTTGTCTTTTTCTAATTAGATTATTTTACCATAAATACAAATCAATTCATTACTAATTTTTCTTTTGCTTGAATCCAACTTAAGTTTGTCTTACCTGGTCAAATGGTCTCAACTTCCTGTCTGGTAATAAATTTGTGATGAAGAGGTCTTTTAATGTGTCTGAAATATGTACAATTGCTAAGTAAAAATCTAAGTTAAAATACATAAAATACATGAACAAGAGGTCCAAGGGCCACAATGCTTACCAGAGTTACTCTGGCCCTGTTGTTTTTCATCAACTACATGTTTTGATATTTCAATTTAATGAACTCAATTTTTCCATGACTTTTTCAATTGTTATGTAGTTCTATTTCAGCTAGCTTACATTGGTTATTGTTTAATCAGTATCTTATTGCCAGACAATATTATGATTTACTGCAGGCTATCACCTAGTGTATATTGGTTATTAATTTCTTTGTTATTTACCAGCAGCGATCATGCTCTCCCTCTTATTCTTTTTCCTACACATGTTAAGAAGTCCCTCCAGATTCTGCAGGTTGTGGACCGGCGACTCCTGTACCAGCAGGGTCAGTGCTGCCACTTTGTCTGTCAGTGTGCCAGTGGTCAGGACTGTTTTAATCCACTTTGTCTCTGACTTCTTTGACTTCTCTCTCTCTGCGTTATTCAATACATGTATACCAAAACATTACATTCATTCTAGTGAAAAGCAACTCACAGACGGTTTCCAGATGAGACAAGATTTATTGTTCATGAATACAAAAATAAAACATGAACATTTTCAAATGAATGCATTAAAGCAATACAACATGCATAAGATCTCTTCTTTCAATTAATGAAACAATATCGTGAATAAATCTTATTTAATAGAAATATATATATGAATTCTTACGTTTGAGATACACAGATACTTCATCCTCCAATAGTTTGGATGCAAAAGATTCCAATTGTTGTTCTAGATCAGACGGCAAAGAAGACCCTTCCTCACTGTCCTAAAGAAAATATACCACAATGAATTAATCATCTTAAGTCTACATAAAGGTCTTCTATATTGGCTCTCTTGTATCTTTCTACCATGGATTGCAGGGACTGTTGACCCACTTGTAGTTTCTGAATTTGATGATCTTGCTGATAGCTTTGGGGTATTCCCATCATATGACAATTGATGCTTTCCGTTTGTTTTGTCGGTTTTAGGCATCAATCAATATAGGGATATTGAAATATATCTTAAAATATAAGTTCCTGATTTTCTAAGACTTCACTTTTAAAATAGTAACAGATTACTCATAAATATCACAGCCAAAAATTACATGCCCAAGTCAAACCACACATGGGTACAATGAATTTCTGAAACCATTTCATACATTGATGTAAGCCTCCATGTTTGCTTATGTAGTCTTTTTCTAAGCTGCTGCTTTCAAATTTGGCACTCAGTTCATTATTCTAACAAATTGTATTTTAAAATTAATGACATTTGATAATAATCAAGTATGAAAATAGTTTTCCTTTCACCAATCTATGTCTAAAATACTGCTACAGCATCCCAAGGCTAGCCAGTGAATCAATTAAAATTCATTTTCAACTATACCAAAAAAAGAGAACAGAAAAACTATGAATGCAAAATATAAATGTACCTCTTCTTCCAGGCTCTCCTGGCCTGGTTTGACAAGAAGGTAAGATCTGGGTGAATATGATGACAGATGGGCTTTAAGGCTCCAGCCTTTACTTGTCTGTGAGTCTGATGTTGTGCTGGAAATCTCTTCATGCTGAATCTTGTATTTGTTTTTCTGCTTCTTTTTCTTTGTTTCTGCTTTTGATTCTTCTTGAACATCATTCTCTTCTGTGTCTGGCATTACCGCAAGTTTTTTCTTCTTTTTCTTTTCTTTTCTGTGGAACACATGATGTAAGTTACAAATTAAATATATGTCTTACTGCTATTTATTCAAAGACACCTGTGCATTAACTCTAAAACCCCCCTTGACCTGCCTTCACCTCTGAACTTTTACCTTTCATCATCTTCTGGTTCATCTTCAGCAAACTGCTCTGGAATTCCTAGTTTCTTAATAAAATCCAAGATCTACAAGCATAAAAAATAAATTAAGATTTTATAATTGGATTTTTTACACTTCCTACAACATGTATTGTAATAAAGGCAGATTTTAACTTCTTAGGTGCAAGCACTATACAGATCAAAAAATAGATGATACTAGTAATTTAAGTCCCTGGTTTTCTCATACATGTAATTACTATCCCTAAAATTACCTCATCTCTTCTTATGCCATCTTCATGTCCATCTTCATCAAATTCTTCAATTATTTCCTCATCATTCTCATCTATTCCTTCCAACAATTGAACATCATTCTACCATTAAAAAAATCCATATTTAGTAAGACACAAAAATACAGTTTTTCCATAACAAACAATACATTTTTTCCCACCCATACACCCCGTCCCATTTAATTCGAAGTCTATCTAACATTAGTATAACCTGAAATTTGAGATATCGAAATTGGATCAATTTTAGTCATTTGTAAGAATTCTTCCATTTCAAATATTTAATTCCTGAGTGCATATACAGGTGTAAACTCTATTTTTTTAGCATAAGTATTTGAAATGCCTGAGTATTAGAACTCATATCACAATATACATGTCTTGCAATTTACTTTAGTCAAGTCCAGTACAATCTCTTAATTTAGCTATATAGCTTTAAATAGTTGTATAGCTATATTAAGCTATTCAGAATAGCTTAATTTAGCTATTTTACCACATTTTTTCTTAAACGTGTAATTTTCTCAACATGCATGAAAAGTCGCACCTTAGTTCAGTGATGATATTCAACCTTGAACTCTTCTGAAAATAATGCATGTAAAAATCACTCATCAAATTACATCTCCTTGCGAGGCTTTGTGGGCCATATACAGCAATTAATACAGTTTCTTCTGCAATTAAATACTGTACGTGTACTTTTAAAAGGGGGCTTTATATTTTACCAGTTTTGCCAATTCAGGAATACTGCTAAGGGCACTAAGAAATCAAAAACATATACAATATATGGCACGGATATGGGTAGCACTAATTCATGATTAAGCCAATAACTTCATACCTAGTGACTGCGCTAAAATTTCAATACACCTATTCATGTACACTACAGTATATAAAGGAGAATAAATATGGTCAACATTGATTATAATAATTCAGTACAATGTAAGCAATCAGACTTATCCATGCCTCAACACACACAGGGTAGTGGACAGTTACTCTAACAATAGAAATTCTTTTTTTGCTCATAAAAAGTATTCAAAAGCTGCGATGTTACAACTTTGATTTAGATTGTTGTTTTGATAGCCCATAGTACTGTACATATATTAAGAGTTAAATACATTTGATTTTTTGTTTATTTCTAACCAAAAACATTTTTTTGTGAAAAACTGCATATAAATAGCTAAATAAAGCTATACATAGCTATTTAAACCTATATAGGCAAATAAACAGGTCCAGTACAATCACTAGATTTAGCTACATAGGTAGAATTACCTATGTAGCTTTATTTACCTACCTCAGATAGCTTTATTTAGCTATTTCAATGCAACTTTTCAAAATTTTTCTTTTTATTAAAAATAGACAAAAAGTCGCAAGAAAATGACTATTAATATTTATACTAGAGAGGTTTTCAAAAACAATACTAAGCAGAGATAGTTTAAACATTACTGCGTTTGGACAATTTAGAGCAAAACATGCAATTCCATTGTTTGGGTAACTGTCCTCTCTCTTGTGTGCAGTGAGGCATGGATGAGTATGATTACTTCACAGTGTGCTGAACATAATTACCGACCTATTATCATGTTAACTGGAACTGGACTTCTTTGGCATTTCAATCCTGGAGTAACTGTTTTAACTGTCACACATAGCCCAAAAACTTTCAGAACTTTGATTGCAATTTTGCAGAAAAAGACATTTCTTCAAGAGTGATTTTTTTCATGAATTGTTTTCAGATGAGTTCAACGTTGGAAATGATCACAGCATGCATCAAAATGAGATTTTCTACACATCCTAAGAAAAATGCTTTTGTATAGAAATAAATTGATTTGGTAGCTAAGGTAAATAAAGCTAAGTAGGTAAACCAAGCTACGTAGATAGAATGTTCTATCGTTAAAATGATATTGTCCTACGGACCCGCTTTAACGATAGAATTCGTTCCCTGTATTCGTAATGTAGCAAAGGAAACATGGGCGATAACTCGTACACACTATAATTCAGTGCATTTACTACAAACAATCTAGAGAGTTCCGAATGTAAACATGGCAGGTAAATTTGAAGCGAGAGAAAAACGTTGAGAAAATTAATTGGATTTTCGTCTTTAGATGGATTATTTTCTGGGATAAAAGGCATAAGCAATCTCAAAAAGGTTTGTTTTGATTAATTTGGTAGTTATTTCCAGTGCAAATCCTTTTAAATTCTTCAAAATCGTTTCGGAGCGGATCCGCTCCGATTTGCTACATTGTAAGTATATGGGACGTATTCTAACTGTGTGAGGGCTTGTACCGAGACACAGTTAGATCATTCTAACTACAAGCTACGTAGCTAAATCTAGTGATTGTACCAGGTCCAGTACAATCACTAGATTTAGCTACGTAGGTAGAATTACCTACGTAGCTTTATTTACCTACCTCAGGTAGCTTTATTTAGCTATTTCAAGGTAAGTTTTCAAAAGTTTTCTATTTATTAAAAAGAGACAAAAAGTCGCAATTAAATGACTATTGATATTTTTAATTGGAAGGCTTTAAAAAACAATTCAAAGCAGAGATAGTTTATACATTGCTGCGTTTGGACAATTTAGAGCAAAACATGTAATTCCATTGTTTGGTTATCTGACCATATGGTGAGGTGCAGTGAGGCATGACTGAGTATGATTACTTCACATTGTGCCAAATAATTACCGACCTATTATCGTGTTAACCGGAACTGGACTTCTTTGTCATTTAATTCAAGGAGTAACTGTTCTAACTGTTATACATAGCCCCAAAACTTTCAGAACTTTGATTGCAATTGCGCAGAAAAAGATATTTTTTCAAGAGGGATTTTTTCATGAGTTGTTTTCAGATGAGTTCAAAGTTGAAAATGATCACTGCATCAAAATGATATTGTCTGCACACCCTGAGAAAAATGCTTTTTAATAGAAATAGATCAATTTGGTAGCTAAATAAAGCTACCTCAGGTAGGTAAATAAAGCTATGTAGGTAAATCAAGCTACGTAGCTAAATCTAGTGATTGTACCAGACCTGTGTACCAGACCTGATCAAGATATTGAACAGGACATTTTAGTTTTCATGATAAATTTCATCATGGGAAAATAATTTTTAGGAATCCACATAAAGGGATATGCCATTTAATGTGTCTTATGATAAACAAATACCTTATCTCCACCTAACTCACTGACAGTCTTGAAATCTAGATGAACATCTTTCACACGTGTTTTGACTTTCTTTTTGGAAGCCATGTTGTAAACATAAGATTGAGAGGCGATACGGTTGGAACGATATAATCCGGATTGCATTCGGGACATAGTTCTTTAAGGATCGATGTCAAGAATATGGGAGAAAAAATAAGTTGTTTACTCTTATTTGTATATACATGTAGACAATTTAATGGATCTCAGACTCTGGATTACCCCTTCATGTTTTTTTTCTTATTCTGCATTGAGAAGTTGATGGCTCGTTTCAGTTTATTCTCTACTGAGAAGTCGATGACTCGTTTCAATGTTGAGGGGGAGTATTGAAACGCGCCATCGACTTCTCAATAGAGAAAAGTTTCAGTTAAATTCACAAAATGAAAACAAGTCTCGACAGTAAAATAAAATGTTTTCATTGAAATGCATATTTTTATAAACGAACCATAAAACGTACGATGTTGGTGAGTACTAACAAGTATCTTAACCTATTCTCTTTATAGAAGTGTGCAGACTTTCGCCTACATGTGCATCCGATGTAGGCGAAAGCCCGTCCATTTTTCTAAAGAGAATACTAGTATCTAAAATCACACGGAAAATGCCGCCTCTGGTTGGAGACGGCGAATTCCCAGTTTTCGTAATGGCGCCGGTTCCTAAATTATAACCTTTTCCTGGCAAGTAAAATATCAAAACCGTGAAAAAAGCCTGGAAAACGTAAAACATTTCGGACTAAGAATTTAAAATCCCGGTAACTTCAACGTATCTGTCAGTAGCCTGTCTCGGTTAAAAAAATGATCGTACTCGAATCATGCTCTTGTGTATCGAATAAGTTGGAAGCTTATATTAACACCATATACATGTATGTATGTAGGTTAATATTAGTGATATGTTTAAGGAATCACTGTCCAGTTAGTATAGTATGCCAGGGCATCAACGATTGTGGGGAACATGGGATAATTTGCATAACGGGCGAAATACGGAAATACGGAAAGTTGACAAAGTCAACTCGATTGTCAAACAGTTATATTTGTCCCTTATCGTCCTTAGTTATAGTAAAAGATCCAGGTTTGAAATAGATATAGCAGACCCTGTGGTGTCGAGATGGAGTTATCAAATCAGACCCAAAATGAGAGCAAACCACACAAAGGCGACAGTAGACTTAACTATTTAAATAGTTGAGAATGATTTTTATACAATAGTTTGTATCAATATAGGTCTTTCCTAGCATTTCAATACAAGAATGAATAAGTATTAAATATTAAAGTAATATACAAGTACCGAATAAAGCATATTTAAATGCACCAATTAGTGGAACACGTAATGTGGTTTGCCAATTTATTTATTTATTTTTTTGTATAAGGGATACTAAATTGTTATCAATGAGCTTTCCTTTCCTCCTGGCAGATAGTGGGAGGAAAAAGAGAGTTTCATCTTTAAATGCCATACACTAGTTACTTAATTATTCTCTCTCTCTCTCTCTCTCTCTCTCTCTGGGTGTACAATAACAATGAATTTATTCTCACAAACTGACATTAAGTACAGAGTAGAGACAAATTACAAATATAGATGAACATAAAGGCATAAGCAATCTCAAAAAGGTTTGTTTTGATTAATTTGGTAGTTATTTCCAGTGCAAATCCTTTTAAATTCTTCAAAATCGTTTCGGAGCGGATCCGCTCCGATTTGCTACATTGTAAGTATATGGGACGTATTCTAACTGTGTGAGGGCTTGTACCGAGACACAGTTAGATCATTCTAACTACAAGCTACGTAGCTAAATCTAGTGATTGTACCAGGTCCAGTACAATCACTAGATTTAGCTACGTAGGTAGAATTACCTACGTAGCTTTATTTACCTACCTCAGGTAGCTTTATTTAGCTATTTCAAGGTAAGTTTTCAAAAGTTTTCTATTTATTAAAAAGAGACAAAAAGTCGCAATTAAATGACTATTGATATTTTTAATTGGGAGGCTTTAAAAAACAATTCAAAGCAGAGATAGTTTATACATTGCTGCGTTTGGACAATTTAGAGCAAAACATGTAATTCCATTGTTTGGTTATCTGACCATATGGTGAGGTGCAGTGAGGCATGACTGAGTATGATTACTTCACATTGTGCCAAATAATTACCGACCTATTATCGTGTTAACCGGAACTGGACTTCTTTGTCATTTAATTCAAGGAGTAACTGTTCTAACTGTTATATATAGCCCCAAAACTTTCAGAACTTTGATTGCAATTGCGCAGAAAAAGATATTTTTTCAAGAGGGATTTTTTCATGAGTTGTTTTCAGATGAGTTCAAAGTTGAAAATGATCACTGCATCAAAATGATATTGTCTGCACACCCTGAGAAAAATGCTTTTTAATAGAAATAGATCAATTTGGTAGCTAAATAAAGCTACCTCAGGTAGGTAAATAAAGCTATGTAGGTAAATCAAGCTACGTAGCTAAATCTAGTGATTGTACCAGACCTGTGTACCAGACCTGATCAAGATATTGAACAGGACATTTTAGTTTTCATGATAAATTTCATCATGGGAAAATAATTTTTAGGAATCCACATAAAGGGATATGCCATTTAATGTGTCTTATGATAAACAAATACCTTATCTCCACCTAACTCACTGACAGTCTTGAAATCTAGATGAACATCTTTCACACGTGTTTTGACTTTCTTTTTGGAAGCCATGTTGTAAACATAAGATTGAGAGGCGATACGGTTGGAACGATATAATCCGGATTGCATTCGGGACATAGTTCTTTAAGGATCGATGTCAAGAATATGGGAGAAAAAATAAGTTGTTTACTCTTATTTGTATATATATGTAGACAATTTAATGGATCTCAGACTCTGGATTACCCCTTCATGTTTTTTTTTCTTATTCTGCATTGAGAAGTTGATGGCTCGTTTCAGTTTATTCTCTACTGAGAAGTCGATGACTCGTTTCAATGTTGAGGGGGAGTATTGAAACGCGCCATCGACCTCTCAATAGAGAAAAGTTTCAATCAAATTCACAAAATGAAAACAAGTCTCGACAGTAAAATAAAATGTTTTCATTGAAATGCATATTTTTATAAACGAACCATAAAACGTACGATGTTGGTGAGTACTAACAAGTATCTTAACCTATTCTCTTTATAGAAGTGTGCAGACTTTCGCCTACATGTGCATCCGATGTAGGTGAAAGCCCGTCCATCTTTCTAAAGAGAATACTCGTATCTAAAATCACACGGAAAATGCCGCCTCTGGTTGGAGACGGCGAATTCCCAGTTTTCGTAATGGCGCCGGTTCCTAAATTATAACCTTTTCCTGGCAAGTAAAATATCAAAACCGTGAAAAAAGCCTGGAAAACGTAAAACATTTCGGACTAAATTTAAAATCCCGGTGACTTCAACGTATCTGTCGGTAGCCTGTCTCGGTTAAAAAAATGATCGTACTCGAATCATGCTCTTGTGTATCGAATAAGTTGGAAGCTTATATTAACACCATATACATGTATGTATGTAGGTTAATATTAGTGATATGTTTAAGGAATCACTGTCCAGTTAGTATAGTATGCCAGGGCATCAACGATTGTGGGGAACATGGGATAATTTGCATAACGAGCGAAATACGGAAAGTTGACTTTCGATTGTCAAACAGTTATATTTGTCCCTTATCGTCCTTAGTTATAGTAAAAGATCCAGATTTGAAATAGATATAGCAGACCCTGTGGTGTCGAGATGGAGTTATCAAATCAGACCCAAAATGAGAGCAAACCACACAAAGGCGACAGTAGACTTAACAATTTAAATAGTTGAGAATGATTTTTATACAATAGTTTGTATCAGGTCCTTCCTAGCATTTCAATAGAATGAATAAGTATTAAATATTAAAGTAATATACAAGTACCGAATAAGCATATTTAATTTGACCAATCAGTGGTAGATGACTCTACTTATTTATTTATTTAATTGATAGGGATACTAATTGTTATCAATGGAAGTTTGCCTTGGAGGATAGTGGGATGAAAAAGAGATATATCAATCCTCCATCTATACACTAGTTACTTAATTATTTTGGGTGTACAGTACAGTTGTATTGATTCTCACTGATATTAAGTACAGAAGACAAAGAGTATATTACAAATATAGATGAACATACGTGCATTCGTTAAGAAAAAAAATTAAGTCCTCAAAACTAGTCTAAAACAACCAAAGGAACTAGGAGAAGAGTTGAATGTGTATAAATATGTGCTGTCACCCCATTGTTGTGATTGAAAAAGTCGACTATAATTGCACCTAAACATTTAAATTCAGTACACACTAGAAAGGGGTTAGTAGGGAAAAGAAAGATTAATTTCCCAAAGTAAACATGTCGTAAGCAAACAGGAACAATTCCACCCTGTAGTATCCTTTAATATATTGGGATTGGGATAGTGGGAGGTCATGAGGTGATCAAATATCTCCAGGAGTCCACCCTATTGATCTTCATACCTTTTCTTTGACCTGATTCACTATAAGGAAGAACTTACTCATTCACAGAATAATAAATGGATAAAATTTATATGATACCGATAATACCCACTAACTTGTGGTAGATTACAAAGCAATTCCTTCCTTGATCGAGGTTTTTTTTAATGGTTTTCGTAGAATCTTTCACTTTATTCTTGTCTTAAACATGATAAACAAGTTTATGCAATAAAACTATTGTTTATTTGTATAATTTTCTGGATTTCCCTTTCAGTAGTTGTATCCCATTACTGTTTCTCTCCATTAGTTCAGTCAATATTAGAAAAACTGGTAGTGTTTTGATTTTTATAAGATTTGTGTCTAAACTTTAAAGATTTCAATTAATTTGCACTAATTATGCCATTTAACGACTTTATAGTTAATTGAACGAGAAGTTTAGCTGAGTGGTTTTTTGTACTTATTGACATAATCCTACTATGAAGTACGAACCTGTTGTTTTCCGTTGTTTTACAAAGAGGAAGAACATTCATATACAATAACCACCCTGACAATTGTTGATATAGAAATGAAGTATTTCTCATATTGGTTTAAATTGCATGTG